ATCAATGCTTCTGTTTGTTTCTTGATATGTTTGAAGAAAACACAAATGGATTTTAATGCTTAGTGTTAGAACATAATTTAAAGAAGTGAATGAAAGAACTCACCTATTTTCTGTAATTAAATAAAAACTATTTTGCCATTATCTACATGTCAAAATTATTTGTGCTACTATGGTCATTAAATTTGACTATTGGTAGTTAAATCTCATAGATATTTGCCAGTATTGCATTTACCTTCTAAATATTGAAGGTGGTTACCTATAGGTAGTTATCAATCCATAGCTTAAAGTTACATTAGTAGTTGCATTCACTTGTGACCTGCTTTGAGACATAACACACATTCCTAACCTGCCCCCTACTTTTTTCTGGAGAGCTTTGGTAAGTAAAAGAATGCTTGAATTTACTAGCCAGAAAGATCTGGTTAATGTTAACTGCTATTGCAAGAAGCAGAGTTTTTGTCGATAACTTTAGAAAGCCTAACTTAATTTACACAAAATTCTACCCATATTATTAACTTGTGTAATGGCATAAGAGGTAAGGGTTAAAATTCTGATTCCACCATTTAATAGTTATGTTATCTTGAGCAAAGTACTTATCCTTTAAGTGGTGGCTTACTCTCCTCATTTGTAACTAGAGATAGAATATCTAAATCATAATGTGCAAGAATTAAAATTGCTAATATACATTAGGCATTCTGAATAGAACAGAGCTTGTATATGTTTCAGCTATTATTTCCATTTAGATTGGTTTTTATCTATACTTTTTAGCTAATTATTTAATTAATATTCATGTTAGTCAAAATTTGAACGTTTTAATTAGCCTAATCAAAATGAAGACAATGTCTAAATCAATCAGAGATATTAAAAAATGTAGTTCTTAGGACACCTGGGTGGTTCATTCAGTTAAGCGTCTGACTCTTGGGTTTCAGCTCAGGTCATGATCTCAGAGTCGTGAGATCAAGCCCCATTTCAGGCTCCACACTCAGCACAGAGTCAGCCTGAGATTCTCTTTCTCCCTCTCCCTCTGCTGCTCATCCCCACTTCATGCACTTTCATAAATAAATAAATAAATAAATAGTCTTAAAAAAAAGAGTAGTTCCTTGGATTTGCCTCATATTGTACATCAGAACCTACATACTGGTGGTGTTCAAGTAGGAAAGAAACCACAGATTTATATTTTCAAGGTTAATTCAAATTGAAGATTGTTTTCTCTTTGCTCCAGAATAATTTTATGTGTAGACATAAATATTTCCTAGAGACATACTCCTCAAAATAACTTGAAATAATGAAGGAAAGTGCATATGCATAATGTGAAAAAAGCTAAGAATAACAGCTTCGTTTGGTATGAAAATTATGCAAATAACTTTAATAGTTATTAGCATGTTGACTTGTACATATAACCTTCAGCTTCAGGTTGTGTGGGACCACAGATAGGTTTGTCCTCAGAATCTTCAGGACCAGATTCCTCTAAAGATGCTCCAACCAAATGGGTAGAGAAGGTAGCAGTTTAATATACAGTGTAGGCTGATTTGCAAACCACACACTGTAGATTTCAAATGAATTTTATTTATCAAAGCCATTTACCTAGTGACATCCTTTAAAACTGCAGTTATATTCTGGGAGGTAGAATGAATGAGTAGGGTTGGACTTAAGTTTCCCAAACATACCAGCTCATATCAGTGGATCTCAGAGTTGGAGTAGGGAAGGGGCAGAAATTCAGTCCTCTAGAGGTACCAGTTTCTCTTCTGGACAGTTGACATAGGCCTCCTGGGCAGCAGAGAAATAGACATCAGTGAAAATAATAATTTTCAACAGTATGAGTCAGATGGCTGTATTAGTTTTCTAGGACTTCTGTAACAAAGTACTACAAACTTAGTAGCTTAAACAATAATTTATTGTCTCACGGTTCTGAAGGCTGGAAGTCTGGGTTCAGGGTGTCTAGAGGGCCACATGCCCTCTGAAGGCACTAGGGAAGAATCTCTGTATTTGGTCCTGGCTTCTGGTGGTTCTCTGCCTTGTGGCAGTATCACTGTGCTCTTTATATGGCATTCTCCCTCTGTGTCTCTGTCCTCTCATAGCCATCTTCTATAAGGATACCAGTCCCATTAGATGAGGGATCCACACTACTCGAATAACATTTCCAAAGACACATTTTGAGGTACTGGAGGGGTTAGGACTTCAACATATGAATTAGTGAGTGGGGCATAGTTCAATTCATAATAGTTAACCATGTATTTTTATTGTCCTAATTGGGACACTGGAGAAAGTGAAGGGAGCACTATTAATCATTGTTCTGGGATAACTAGCATAAACTGAGACTGCCTTAGGCAAACCTGAATATATGGTCACTGTCCCTATGAGATAGATACAATTTATCCCATTTTTCAGAGGTTCATTGAGGTTGAATAACTTCCCCAGAGTTATAACTAGAAGGAGGACAAGTATTATTCAAATTCAGGACAATCAGATTCTAAAAAAAGGAGAAAATCTATGCCTCTAACAAAAGTTAACATTTTCATGTCTATAGACAAAATTTCTGTATTATGACACTAGGTAAGGTAGGGAGTGAATTTGTTATGCTTCATTCTCTAAAATTCCTTAACTATATCTCTTTCCCTGCTTAATCACCACAGCTATTATGAAAGAAAATAATAACCTGGTATATTACATTAGACTTAACATAATTTACCAGATGGCTGCGAGTCTTTGATTTTTGTTTGCTGGCTATTCTTTTGTTATTTGGAAAACAAGGAGATATCTAAAGCTATACGAAGAGTCTAGCGATGAACAACTACATTTTGTAGGCTTGCTAGTAAATTTCTGAAAAAACTTTTTGGAAGTGTAAATCACTTTACTATTTTTATCATGCTTTATTTGTTATCGAGGTTTGATTTGTTGATTGATCTGTTAATAAATAAACAGTTTAGCATTCTTCATTATCCATCACTAAAGGAAAACAAACTGAAAATCTAAAAGATTACTTTACTTTTCATGCTTTATGAAGAAGGAAATAAAAAATTACCTGGAATTAAATTATGCAGTAGATACCACCATCAGCAGTAGCATTTTGCTGTATTCTTATTTTTTCCAGGGGGGTATGCATGGTAAAGTTTAGATAGTGAAGAAATTGATAAATGACAGTTGTTGTTACTATTCCTTCTACTGCCAATGCTGTTGTTACTGGTACTGCTATTAATATTATTTTCATCATCATCAAAGAGCAGAATTCTAGAAATATCAGAGAAGGGCAATCAATATGACTTAAAGACTGGATGAAGAGGGCAGTGAGTTAAAGGAAGTATGTTGGAGGCTAAGTTTCTTATTTGGTAACTAGGTGAGCGTGGTATAACTAACCAGGACAGGATATACAGGATACACAGGATCAGGAGTTGAAGACATGAATTCAGAATGCTGTATTTGAGTTGTTTATGGGATATCCAAATGAAGATACCTGGTTGACATATGGCTATCTCAAGACTGGGTCTCAATAGAGAGATCTGGAATTGAGATAAATACATATTATCAATTTAGTGTTAAAATAAGATTATATTTTCATAGTTTTTCAAATAAATTGGACTCTACACCTTTATTTTTCTGACAATGAAGATGCACCTTCCTAAGGTTGTTATTATAATAAGGTGAAAAATTCCGGATCCACTTACCTAGTACAGAGGTTGATTTTTGTCTCACAGAAGTTGGCAAGTCCAGATAGTTCTTTAAAGAGTCTTGTTTCTGTTTGCACTGCCATTGTTACTTTATTTATTTATTATTTATTTATTTATTTATTTATTTATTTCCATTTTGGGTGGTTTTCATCATTTCACAGTTCCTGATTCAAGGAAAGAGTCCTGGGTGCTCCTTCCTGGCAAAGGCTGGGGAAATGTGGCTCTGCTGGGGGCTCCTCTGCATTTGCTCCCCCACCATGTTACTGCTGAAAACATACAGTTCATAGACAGAACAAGGCCCCTGAAGAATGTCCCTGTCATCTCATGAAGGAGTGTCCGGGATTAGGGACAGGCCAAGGAAGACTGATTAAAAGAGACCATTAGAGCAACGAGTTCATTATTGACATGATAGGGGAGTTCTCTGGAATAACTCGAGTGATACCTGGATTGAAGAAGAAAGAGAATCAAATGGGATATGAGAGAGTAAAGAACTAACATGTGCTACTTGGGAAAAGCCCTGTCTCTGAGGGACAGAAAAGCCAGATAGGAAGTTTTACATTTTCTGAAGGCAAACATTTTCGTGTATCCATCTTTGATTGCAGGTCTAGCATCCTGCCTTGTAAGTGCATTGTTAAATGAGAGAATAAAGAATGGTGATTTTGCTTTTCTAAATAATTAGGATTTGACTAGAGAGCAGCTTCAGATTCCTTCTGGAGACTAAATTTTGTCACATTTTTGTCATTTCACAGTAGAATTTTTTTTAATGTGTTGGGTAAACAAAATTGGCTTGGCTCTTTTCTTAAAAAATGATCTCTAGATGCAAGGTACTCAGTTATATCAGTAAGTATGGATCAGTTATTAAACTACCAGTGATTCTGTTTAACATTTACCAATTTGTGCAATTATTTTGAAACTCATAACCCCATCTAAGATTATGAAATCTTTCTTTTTAAAACAAAGAATCAATAAACCAATTAAAGACCCCTATCATGAGTAACACAGTGACAGAATGAATTGATTAATATAAACTCCTTTTCAGAGATTCTTAAAATCTGAAGATTTAATTTGGGCTCGAACACTAAAAGGAATATGCAATAAGCTTGCTGCTGGCAAACGTTTCAATCCTGGAAGCTGTCTGGGCTTAGTCCCTCTCTGCAGGAGGGAAAGGCACAGTCCATTGCCTTGAAATGCTCATGGTACGTCAGCCCAGCTGTGCAGGGAGCCTCTTTCTGGCAGTGCAAAGAGCATACATGGTGATTAAGATATGAGTTGAGGGAGTGATGGTGGGGCTTGCTTTGCTATTTTACTTTTTTTCTGACCTGGAGACTTCCTTTGCAGGTGAGCGTCCCTATCAATGCCCTTACTGTGAAAAAGGATTCAGTAAAAATGATGGACTGAAGATGCATATTCGTACTCACACCAGGGTAAGATTATATTCTGTCTCATTAATATTTATTATAAAACTATACTTGGTTTTTTTAAACATATTTAATTGGCATGAAAAATAAAAGTGATGTATCTAAAATTACATGTTTATATTTATGATGGCTATTTGAGGATACTTTTTTTTTTTACATTTTTTTAAAGACAAAACAATGAAAGAAATAAAAGTTCAGACCTCAAAAGTGTCCCAATTCTTTGACTTATGAATAAGTGCTTAGGAGTACTAGGAATTATAAATGGCAAACTGCCAAATAAATAGATCGTGACATTTTAATACTAAAAAGTATAAAAGACGCTGCCTTGCAGAGCATTTGCCAGTGAGAGGAACATTCTTGAATGGAGGCGTGTGACCACTAAGTAATGCATATGAGGAAATACATTTTCAAGAAAGGTGTTGAAAATAATGTTAGTTATTAGAAGGGGCAGAAAAAGAAAGAACAAGTCACTGCTTTACAGGTACTGCCTGGTACGGCCTTCCACTGGACTGTCATCACTCACTTACATACGGCTTTCCCATACTCAAGCATCTGCCTCACCTGCTATGTAAAAACCCATGAGCAGTTCACCCTCCATGCAGCTGCATTTCTTAACTATTTCTGTTTAGAGCACATTAGATACTTCATATGAGCTTGCCACGTGGAAATCGGATGTTTTAAATAGTTCTTGATTTTACTTTACCCATCTTTTCACTGCATTATCTTTCACACAGTTCCTTTTCAGTCTGGCCTTTTAAAGGTGCTCATGGTCTGGACATAAAGGACGTATTTTTTCCAGCTTTTAAGAGACATGCTTAATCCCCTAAGAGTAATTCTAATTTAGGCCTTTCCTGGATTTCACTTTTTACCTTAGCTATAAAATAAAAACTAGAGAAAACACATAATAATAATAATATCCTTTCCAGTATAATAATATTCTAGCCTTCCACTTCAGTTCTGTAGGCCATAAAAGATACCCTCGGAGGCCCTGTGAAGAAAATAACTCTTCTTGTTCTTCTGGTGGAGGACAGAAACAGCTTCTGTACTCATTAAAGCAAATCCATAGCAGGTTTCTCCTTCTGGTTTATAACACCATATTTATATTATATGAATATTAGTAATTGGAATATTTACTGAGTATAAAATTACTTCAAAACTATAAAGGATTAGACAAAGATGACTACTTGTAATGATATGACTTAAATATATATTTCACAATGAGCACTTTTTTTTTTTAAGATTTTATTTATTCTTGAGAGACACACAGAGAGGCAAAGACACAGGCAGAGGGAGAAGGAGGCTCCATGCAGGGAGCCCGACGTGGGACTCGATCCTGGGACTCCAGGATCACGCCCTGGGCTAAACCATTTGGGCTGCCCGACAGTGAACATTATTAAAGAGATTTAAGTTAGTTTTAGTTCACCTTAGGAAGTTATCTTAAATGTGTGCAGTTTTCATAATGGCATTAATAATATGTTTTAAAGATGCCAGCATGCAAGCAAAGGAACCTTGGTTCCTGTCATCGAAACTAGTGATGTTAACCAAAATTTGGGCACAATGGGAACCTAATATGTTACTGCACATGATTACCGATGATAGACATGATTATACCACAGAAGAAAATCACTGTAGGAAAAAAATACTTTCTGGGTCCTCTCAAGAAAGTGTGATATTTCAGGATGCCTGGGTGGCTCAGCAGTTGGGCACCTGCCTTTGGCCCAGGGCGTGATCCTGGAGTCCCCGGATCGAGTCCCATGTCAGGCTCCCTGCATGGAACCTGCTTCTTTGCCTGTGTCTCTGCCTCTCTCTGCCTGTCATGAATAAATACATGAAGTCTTTTAAAAAAATAAAAGAAAGTATGATATTTCCAGTTCAATTAATCAGTTTTTTACTTTGCCTTAATCCAAAGTTTATTAATGAGACTGATACAAATAGTGGTAACAAATACAAAGACAACTAATCCCATGCCAGGTACTAGTCTGGGCTTTCACAAGCATTTATTTAAGAAGCCTCACAGAATTTATATCCCATATCTTGGTAATGAATTAAAAAACCCTTTTAGGCCTCTGTAAGGTAGATATTCGTATGATCTCTTTGTAAAAAATGAGAAATTGAGGCATAAGCAGGCAAGGAGCAGAATTGAGGTGGGAACCCAAGCAAATGGGCTGCAGAATCAATCCCCTTACCTACCACACACATTTGCCTTTTATTTACTTAAATATTTTGACTCTAACTGACTGAATACTTTCTTGTATATTTTTAAACTAAACGAACTGCAGTAATTATCCCAGATATAAAAGCCTTGTGTTCATTTGAATATTTGAGCCTTAACTCAAGGTTCCTGAAACTGCCTCGAGGTGTCCAGGGACAGGTGGTACCTTTTAGCAGCTTTCAAGCACTAACTGCAGGGAAAGAAAACAAACCCCAGCTTTTGATTAAGGGCACACTCTACAGCACCTCAACTAGAAGCACCCAGGATTTTAGGCCGAATCCCATACGATTCGTGGAGAGCTCCAAAGGAACAGGGTATTTTCCCTTTATTACTTTGGTTTTATAGGACCAAATACAAAAAAGTTATCACTACATTTGGATCATGATGCATGTCAGTTTCAGTTTTGTATTCACATTACATTTAGTATTTAGATAGTTCTAATCCTAGGCGTTTTTGTCCTATTTCAAAAGAATTTTAATTCTGTTACAGCAACAACAAAAACTATACTATTCAGCATGCTACATCTTTGAGAAGTTTGAGTTAGTCTGCACAAAATGCCATGCCTTGCCTGCACCCTCAGATTTGCATTCTGTGGTTACTGCATGGATGCCTCAGCGAAGGAACACAAAATCCTTTCATTCTGGTTATTGTTTATGGGGTCCAGTAAGGGCTCCAAGTGTGGGAGACAATTTTGCTAAAATCCACGTTATACTAAAAGGCTGAACAGTCGTTGGTCTTTTATGGAGAGGCCATGGCTTAAGTCCAAGGCTTAATTTCCTTTTATCCATTTCCTTCAATATATTATACATTCTCCTTATTTTTAGTTTTCAACACTTTGTTATGCTAGATGTGTTTTTCTTTGTATCCATCCTGCTTGTATCTACAGTTTGTTATTAATAGCTAAATTTTGGAAAATCCTCAGCTCTTTTTAAAAAATTACTTCTTTGGTCCCTTTCTTTCCTTCTTTTTCTTAAGGGATGTCAAGTACATGTGTTACAATTGTTTGATGTTGTTCCATAGCTCTTGGTAGTTCTCTTCTGGTTTTGTTTTGCTTTGTTTGTCTTTTGATTTTTAATCACAGTGTTTTTCTTCTTGTCTCTGTGTTTCTAATTTCCATTCATATATTTTCAGTTTTACTGAATTTTTCCTCTGTTGTTCCCAGTCTGCCTATTGAAGGAGCTCATCTTTGATACCATGTTTTTCATTTCTAGCATTTCCATTTGGCTTTTTAAAAAATCACTTCCATGTCTCTGTTAAAATTATCCATTTGTTTGTGCATGTTGTCCACCTTTTCACTGGATTCTTTAACACATTAGTTATAATTATTTTAAGTATTTAAAATTGATACTACTAATTTAAAATAACTGTAATTAATATGTTAAAATATCTGGGCCATCCTTTGATCTTGTTATGTTGTCCATTCTGTCTCTTGATATGGGTTTGTGGGGGGGGATTGCTTTTTGTGTGTCTTTATTCAATGCCTATTACTGCATGTAAAAGAATAGTAGATATCAAGGGAAATATTATTTATACCTGGAAATAGGTGCACCTCTTTTTTGGCCCGACCATTAATGTGAGGGTGTGAGCTAATCTAGTCAAGAGTTGAACTAGCTTTGGGTTTTGTTGCTGCTATAGTTATCATTGGCTTTAAGCTTCTCCTGTAGTGGTAGGCTGCTATTTCCACGTTCTTACTGGGAGGTCTGGATGGTCAGGGGTTTTCTGCAGTAATTCTCTGCTACCAACAGACCCTGTATACCCTTGCTACATACGGTAGAGGTTTGTCTGTCTGTCTCTCTGCCTTTGCCCCTTTACTGGTTATAATGTGCTAGTACATGTTACTCAACATGAGATGTGAATGGGGCAGAGGGCTCTCTTGGCTCTCCTGCTCTGCCAATAGGGTGAGGCAGGTGCTACATACCTGGGCCTCTGAAATGGAGCTTTCTCAGCATTCCTACTCTGATCCAGTGGTGAGCAACTTTTGCCTCTGCATTAGTTCAGGTCTAGAGCTGCAATATCCTAGGCATAAGCTACATGTGGCTATTTAAAATGTAATTAATTATAATTACAAGTAATTGTAATTTCATTAAAATTAAGGCTGATTCATAGAGCATGTAGCTTGTGGCTCCTATATTGGATAGCATAATTAGAAAAATTTCCATCATCACAGAAAATTCTGCAGCACAGGTCTAGAAAGACAGGTGGCTGAACCTGGCCTTGTGTCAGTGGAGAGTTTTGGGCATTAGTGAGGGGACTATTCTTTTTCTGGCAGCAGCAGACCTCTTCTACACATCATTGTGGACCTTGGGCAAAAGCAGGTCCAAGAGCCCCTCTCCTTTGAGTCATTGCAGGGTACGGGGCATGGGCAAGGTTCTGTTCCCCCCAGAGGCAGAGCCCTTTACCAGGGACCAGAGTTTACAAGGGGTTCCTATATCTCTTTTAGCAAGTTGATGGCTTTTGCTTCCTCACAGAGATAAGATACAAGATATGGCAAAGACAGAAGGCATTTGTTTTCTGTGTCAGAAGGGTCTGTGGCCCTGTGCTTATTCCCTGGCAGTGCTGGTCACTGCCTTGCAATCCATGAGGGGACCAGAACACAGATGAGTTCCTTCTGGTATTCCTTCTCCACCTTGAAACCTTATCAGGCCCTCCAACCCACATCACTGTCAGGACGCTCCAGCCCTCTCAGCCTGCCCCTAATCTTTCTCAAGGGCACCTGGTGGAGCCAATGGAAGAGAAGCTGTGAATGGTTAGATTGCCAATGTACTTAGGTTCCCATGATTCTAATCTGAACCAT